CAGACTGACAGTCTAACTCAGTCTAACTCAGTTTAACTCAGTCTAACTCAGTTTAACTCAGTCTAACTCAGTTTAACTCAGTTTAACTCGGTCAGGTTCAGTGATGGTTTAGTTTTCCTGATACATCACAAACTTCGAGTAAAAGTTTATATCTCAGCATCACTTCAACTTTGACAAGTTCGTATTCTCGTATTCTGAAAGAGAAACAGAGGAGAGGACGACGACGACGACGCGTCGACCTTTTCAGTCTGATTAAAGTGAGAGAGATCTCCTTCAGGACGGTGGGTGAGAGGAACCCACTGATGACTTATGTGAGTAACTGTTCCTCACAAGGACAGAGTGTGTGTGTGTCTGTTACCCTGCAGGAAACACCGGAGCGTTCTCCTGCTGTCCAGGAGCATCAACGTGCAGAACTGAGAAATGCTGAGTCACCTCCTGCATGTCCTCGTAGTTAAACAGACTGTTGAAGCAGGACTTATCTGTGCACACACACACACGCACACACACGCACGCACACACGCACATAAAGGAAACAGTCACTGCTGTCAAACTTTAGTTGGTGTTTTTACTGTGGTTTAGTGTTTTTACTCACGGTTCAGTCCGATGTCGTGGTAAGTGAGAATTGTGGGTCGGTTGCCCTTAGCAACCCCCCTCATGGTGACGTGCAGCACACCGTGGGCTGTCTCCACATCGTGCTCCTGAACAACAACAAAACATCAACATCCACTCAGTGTGTGTGTGTGCATGTGTGCATGTGTGTGTGTGTGTGTGTGAGGGTCGGAGCCTGGAGGGAGAGCTAATTAAAATCCTGTCCTGCTGTAAAGTCAATAAGAGTCCTGCAGGGCGGCTCTCACACCAGCCGACGCTTTAACGGGGGACAGGAAAACTACGAAGGTCACTCTGACATCACCGAACGAGCGACCACTTCCTGCATCAACGTGAAACGTCACCTGTCTGAGATGTAAGACCAGGTCTGTGCAGAGCTCTGATGGAGGTCTGTGCAGGTTCAGAGGAGATCAGGTCCTGGTCTCAGCTTCATCTGCTGTTCCTCATGTTTCATTCACTCATTCACTCATTCACTCATTCACCTTCTTCTCACCATGAAACTGAATCTTAGGAGCTCGTCTTCGTCATTATAGATTTAATGATCAATCACTCTGATTGATCGTCACACACTCACAGCTCCTGTTGTTCCTCTGATTCCGTCTCCGACTCTTCTTCCACTTTCTTCTTCTTCTTCTGCAGAGTGGACAGTCTGCCTTCTGTCTCCACTGGTGAACATATGCCCACTGTGTGAGTGGAGATGTGACAGCAGAGTGGAGGAAGGGTTGGATGGTCTGTTTTTATGTTTCAGTCTGAGTGGAGATGTTCTGGAGAATGAACTGCGGTCGTATCGACAGCTGCTCCTCCATAATCTCATTAATCAGGTGAGAAATCTTCAGCCGAGTGTAAAACAGCTGCTGCATCACCTTCCTGTTGTTTTTATCTTCATGCATCGAGCTGATGAACGTTCCCAGAGAAGAACACAGCACACGCTAATTTTAGCACATGATGCAGCTCCGGGTGGAGAACCTGAAGGTGGGCCGATGAGAACGTCTCCAACATGAGTCTGTGTGAAGCATGTGCAGTCAGCTGAGAGACGGCTGAGCTGTTGGAGAGTAAGCTCATTAACGACACGACAGCGTCTGTGCACGGATCTACAGGACGTCGTCTTCATCAGTGTTTATTTCACCGTCAGAGTCTGAGGACGACAGAGACCTGAATCCAGGTCCTCGGCGAGGGGGTCCGAGTTTGATCAGTCGGTCTTCCTGTCGGCGTGAAGAGCAGTAGCCTACAGTAGATATCTACAGTATAAATATATATTTTTTATAACTTCATAAAAAGATTTAAAAACTCGTCCGATTAATCGATAATCAGACCCCCCCCCCCCCCAATAATCGGTGTCGGCCCCTAAGAATCGATCAGGCCCTAGTTTTTTCCCTTCTGTAGGATTGGATGATGTTGTAGTTCTGGACGTCTGAGGGTGAGGAAGACTCAAAGACAGATGATCAGGATGAAGAGGAGGAATAATTGTCGCTCCTCTGAATCATTAAACCCTCGACTCTGTTGATGACAATCAAGTCTGAACTGACAGGACAGAATCAGTCAGAAGAGGATCAGAGCGGTCGTAATATCTGAAGATGAAGTATTTTTTATAGATCCGTTTCAGCGATGGCGTCGACCTTCTCCGCTCAGTCTCTGCAGGAACCTTCAGGTTAGCGGGTAAATCCCTCAACTGTGTGTTTCAGGGTCAGCGGGAGGAGCAGGGTCACGAGCTAAGTGGCCAACAGGCTGACTCCTGGGAGACTGAGGAGTAAAGAGGAGGAGTCAGCAGGAGAACTCACCACCCCGACTCCTAAAGAACAGGAGATCTGGTGCAGGTCCATACGGAGGAGGAGGAGGAGGACTGAGGGGTTCTCCCTGAGAGCAGGTTTCTGAGAAGGAGGTCAGTCCTGATCCT